GAACGTCTTTGAAAGAATCTAAACATTACCGCCTAAGACTACCTTGATAAAAGAAGACGAAATATATAAATCGGTCACTGAAATGTTTTTCAACGTCTAGACATTCGTTTTATCGAATTGAATATTAAGCCGATTGTGTCAATTCGACTACAAACACGCATCAAATAATAAATATGTAGCTGGTAAAAAAAATTCCAAACATCTTAACTTTCTGGGACCTGAAAAAACTAAAGACGCTGGTGAATAAAAGTTATAGTGTTGAAATAATTTCATCACTATTGGTGAAATTGGTGAATTTAATTCCACCGACGACATCTAGAAAAAACCAAATGCAGTAGTGCAGTAGTGATAATTTCATTATTGCAGATTAACATGATGTGACCAATAAGATTCTTTTTTCGAATCCCATAATCTTTTTGCTACTTAAGTTTTTCCGTATAATATATTACACTTCTGTAACTTTTACTGTTTAATGCTTGTTTGTCACCAAGAATGGGTATTTCTACCGGTGAACCGCAGCGGTTAAATCAAGAATGGGTATTTCTACTACCGGTGAACCATAGCGGTTAATCACCAAGAAATGAGAATTCTACCGGTGAACCACAGCGGTTAATCACCAAGAAATGGGAATTCTACCGGTGGCCACAGCGGCTAAGGATGCTAATGACTCAATCGACTCTATTAATTATTCGGACTTCATAATATCGATATACAAGCCGTTAGCATCCCTAACCGCGGTATTAGACACAAACATTTTTTGAATTTAGACTAGAATATATTAGAATCACTAAAATTTTCAAATGATGTGTTACAAATCGTTCTGTAGTTCGTAAATTTTTTTTAAAATTTGTGAATTATAAATATAACAAAAATTGCTACAGTAAATTTAAAAGTACATATGGTATAATTTTTAAGCTTTTAAAAATGAACTCCTTTTGATGGTTGTGGTTAGGGAGAGCACTACTATTATTCTTTTTTTGCATTGAGATATGGCTTAGCGTAGTCTATAGGAAAAATTTCTTTTGCTTAAATTATTTTTTTATTAATTTTTACAATATATATTTTTTGATTCAAACCCAAATTTCTAAAGCAAATGTTT